ATGTTTCTTCAAGTATGTTCTTCTATTTGAATAATTTCATAATATTGTTTATTCTTATATATCATTTTAGGGTTTTTTATTTGCTTGTTCGGGTGAAGCTTTAACAAAAAGATTACGTTCTAAAACATTTCATACTCTTCTACGTCAAGAAATTGCTTATTTTGATAATCCAAATAATAATACAGGAGCAATATGTACACGTTTAGCAACGGAAGCATCTGCTGTACAAGGAGCAACTGGTATTCGTATTGGATTGATGCTGCAAAATCTTTCTTCACTTGGTGCTGGTATTATAATTGCCTTTGTGTTCTCATGGCAATTGACACTGCTTATTCTTGCTTTTGTTCCATTTATGGTTATTGGAGGTTTTTTACAAAGTCGTTTAATGACTGGTTTTGCTAGTAAAGATAAACAATCATCTGAAGATGCTGGAAAAGTTTGTTAATATATTTTTTTTCAAATAAGAAATATTATTCATTTGATTTTATATACTCTCTAGGTAGCAGTAGAATCTATACAAAATATTCGAACAGTTGTACAATTAACTAAAGAAGATTATTTTTATGAACAATATTGTTCATTTCTTGAAATACCTTATCGGTATTGAATTTTATTTCTTTTTTTGTTTTGAATTTAATTTACAATATTTTTGTATTATAGATCATCTATAAAACGAGCACATCTCTTTGGTTTATTCTTTGCATTAACAAATTCGGTTATGTATTTTAGTTTAGCAGCATTATTCAAATTAGGTGCTTATTTAGTAGAGAAAAATACAATCTCATTTGAAGCTCTTCTATTGTAAGAATAAATATTTCTAGAATATAATAATATCATTTTTTTTTTATTTTAGATGTTTTAATTGTATTGTATTTGGTGCACAAAGTGTTGGACAAACAGCATCAATGTATTAAATCTTTAAAAAGATTAGACGGCAAAATTATACTTTTCTTTTTGTTTAGGTCTCCGGATTATACTAAAGCTATTGATTCTGCTGAAAAAATTTTAGAATTATTAAATCGAAAACCAATTATTGATAATGGTTCACGTGATGGTGATGAAATTGTTAGTTAATATTATTCATTTTTAATGATATTGATCTTTTTTTTTTTTTTCTATTTTCTTTTTTGGTTTTAGTTTAACTTTCGTGGACAATTGGAATTTGATGGTGTTCATTTCATCTATCCAAATAGACCAGAATCAATTATTCTTAGAAATTTCAAACTTAAAATCCGATCTGGTATTTTGATCTTTTCTTTTATTCATTCATATTAATTTTTTCTTTTCAATAGGTCAACAAGTTGCACTTGTTGGTAAAGCATTATCTATTTTATTCTTCAATTTTAATATATCTCCATTTATTTATATAGGTACATCTGGTTGTGGAAAATCAACAACTATTCAATTAATCGAACGTTTCTATGATGCAAATGTTGGTCAATTGGTCAGCTAATCTTTTTCTCTCTCTCATATGCACTCACTCATCTATTTTCTTTGTTTTTATAGTTAATTGATTCAAAAGATATTAGAAGTCTTAATCTTCAATGGTATCGATCACAAAGTATTTAATACATCTTCTTTTTTTGTTTTTTTGTTTATTTAAAATGAATATATTTTAGTTGGTATTGTTTCACAAGAACCAGTTTTATTTGATATGTCAATAAGAGAAAATATTGCTTATGGTGATAATAGTCGAAATGATATTCCCATAGAAGAAATCATTGAAGCAGCTAAAAATGCTAATATACATAATTTTATTGAAAGACTTCCAAATGTAAGTCATAGAATGATGTTGTTTTATTTATTTTAGAAAAAGAAAATATGTTTCTATAGGGATATGATACAAATTGTGGTACAAAAGGAACTCAATTATCAGGTGGAGAAAAACAACGAATTGGTAAGAATATATCTTGAGAATAGTTTATGACAAGAAAATTAATGTATATTATTATTTAGCAATTGCTCGAGCATTAATTCGAAATCCAAAGATATTATTATTTGATGAAGGTAAAATATATGAAAGAAATGATTGTTGTGTAATATATATAAATTATTTAGCAACAAGTGCATTGGATAGTGAAAATGAAAAAATAGTTCAAGAAGCATTAGATCGTGCTCAACAAAATCGAACATCCATTACAATAGCACATCGTTTATCAACAATTCAAAATGCAGATATGATTTGTGTTTTACATAATGGAGTTGTAGTTGAAAGTGGAACTCATCAAGAATTACTTGCTCTCGGTGGTCATTATTATCGTTTAGCACTTGGAAAACTTGTATAGAAGATGAGAAATATGGGAATAGAATAAACAATATTTCATATATAAATATAAACAAACAAAACAATCATATTATGTTAAAATTTGTATTTTGAAATGCTTTGTAATTTGAACTCATTTCCATTTAAGTAACAAGAAGATTCTGGATTTTAGTTTCAATATATTCTTTAATCAATACTTCTTTTTTTCATAATCGTTAGTTGTATGATAATTTCACAATAGAATGACGATGGATCATAAGTACACTGATTTATTCTTTCTTCTTTTTTTTGAACTAAATATAGAAAATAGAATGTTATGTTATTGTTGGTGTTGTACATGTATTTTACAGACTAACTACGATTCTATTGTAATTTTTGTTTTTACATAATTGCTAAATTCTAAAGCTATTTTGTGTCAATTTGTTCTTATGTTTTTGGGTTTCAATTATATTTTAAAATAACAATATATTTGTCTCATTAGCAAGATGTTTATGAAGTTTACTGAGAAAGAATTTCTCTATTGTAAAGTTCAAACTTACAGATGTAAAGAATTCATTGTAAACTCACGAAATAAATTACACATAAACTATGTAGAGAGAAAACTCAACAAAAATGAATGGATGATATCCCACAAGTTTTGAAACATTTTAAAAATCTAATGTTCATGTATCATATAAAAAGAAACAAATATCATTGAACTTCAATAGATTAATCATTCAACATACTACTAAACAATTGCAAAAGTAAAAGATGATACATGATATATTGTTACTGTTCATTCATAATAAGAACGGCACGTAACGAAAGAGAGAAGCACTGATACAACGTATTTGCAACTTCTACTGTGATTCTTCTAATAAATCTGTAAAAACTACGGATAAATTATTTTAAAAAAAACAAAACATTTCATAAAATACGATATATTATGTATTAACAAAGTATTTCAAATGTAGAACCGCAAAAGATCGGTTTCGATATGGTCGTCTGGTTATATTATCTAATAGCGCACAGAAAAATTTTTTGAATACAACCGCAATTTTCGCTAATTTTCTTGTCACGGGAATCACATCATATATTCGGTATTTTAAAATCGCTACAAACCGCAGTTTTTCCCCATGCGTGTTCTCCCTCAGCAGGCCTGAGTCAGGATAACCTGAACTACTTGAACTTTTAGCAAAATCCAGGTAAGCTGCCCTTCGACGAGCGGCATAATGAACTTATACAAGTCCCTTTATCCCAAATTCAATTTATAGTCACAGAGTTATTGAAGAAATTTTTTATAAATATCTTAGAAATACTAGAGCACGACATCTTCGTTTCCTTTACACATTCCCTCATGTTTTAATATGTACCGCACGAATTGTGTGAAGACAGTAGCGGATATTAGATACATATCAACCTCAAAAACCGCGGTTTTCCATATAAATGCCACGGTACCACAAACCGCGATTTTACGGAAAACTTCGTTTACCAAGTAACTAATGACGACAAACCGTGACGATAGCTAATTTTGTTGCGATATTTGAGTTTTTTGAAAACTGCAGAATCAGACACCGTGGTTTATTCAAAAAATTTTCCATCTCGGCTACATCAATCAACAATTTCACGTAATCTTCAAAGACGAAGATTAGTTATTATAAGAAATTGTCGAAACGCTTCAGAAATGGATGATGAACAGTAACAAATTCGAGCACGAAAAAAGTGTGGCAAAGTAAGTAGATCGAAAATTGTTCAATAGTTGTGATTTAATTGTGAACGATGAAAAATACCTCAAATCGACCAGAAAGAACATTATCTAGAATCACTCTTTCTATTGAACTAATCCAGCTATAACTTCTTGTAATATCAAGTTTCAAAAGAAAGCGAAATATGAACAAAAACTGATGATTTGGATGTCTATGTTGACAAAAGCAAACAAGCTGTGAATTAAGAAATATATTTAAAAGAATGTACTAATAAAAGATTGTTGCCTTTTATTGATAAATATCGTTAGGATCGAAATTATCTGTTCTGATCCGATTTAGCAAGAATATATTATTCAAATAGTGTTCAAGAATGTTTGAATGAGAAAAACATACCATTTATTTCTCATGCAAACTATCCACCAAACATGCTTCAAGCTCGTCGAATTGAAATTGTACGGACTCAATTTGAACGAAAAATACATGAAAATAATTGCGAAGCAAATAATATCGATCATTCGGTTCGAAAAATCAAACAAAATGCAAAAAAAAATGATACAAGAAATGTTGCAAGTTATGATGAACGGTGTTTGGAAGAAAGTTCGAGTTATGTGGCGAGACAGAATGTATTCAGTTCTCTAAATATATTTTTTTTTGTAGTACTTATCGCGCTCGTTCTAATAAAAAACCAATTAGTTTTTCATCTTTTAAAATAACTGAGCTGTGCAGCTCAACATTTTTCCAAAGACTTTGACATTGCCTATTAATCTCTTACTTATTGAAAGATAAACATATCAATGCTATCGAATTTTTAGAAAACAAAAAAAAAGAATAAAGAACTTTTAAAATTAAAATTCTTCATTTTTCTCTATATAGCCATTTACAAGTTGTTAGATACAAATTATTAATGTCTGAAACGTATGTTTGTATCACGATTACCATAATTAAAAACAAAAAAAAGTAAAGATATTCTTATTTTATAGAAAATTTATTTGCATATTATTGAATGTGAACAATTTAAAAAAAAGAAAAGAAACAAACAATTGAATATTAACTCATAAAGATTTACTTTTCTTGAATTTTTGATGAAGTCTTCCAACTGGTTTCCAATAAGATTCACTATTTATTTTACTACTATCAAGACCCCAAGAAACACACATATCTTCAGCTAAAGCACGATGTTCATCACATAAATCATCATCATTCAATGGTAATTTATACATTGGTTCATACCATGTTTTTGATATAGTATGAGTAACTTCTCGTCCAGCAAAATGTGTTAAAACAAATTCATAGAATTGTTTTTGATTTTCATAATCTGGATGATCATCTGATGGTAAACCTGCATATTCTAATATTTTTCCATTAATACTTATCCATAAAGAAAACATTGGATCTTTTCCATTATGTTTTAAAAGATCATCATCTGTATAATAAATATCATTCGGAATATTATTAATAGTTTCATACATTGTAGGTAATTTTCGAGGTTTAACTGGTTGTTCATGTTTTAAACGATTAATATGTGAAGTATGAACACCAAAATGTTCACAACCTTTAACAATAATATCTACATAACGTTCTGATGGTATACTTATAGGTCTTTCTTCTTCTCCAATTAAATTCATTTTATAAACATAAACACTATGAGAACATTGTTGATAATCAATTGTATCAACTATAATACGTTTATACATATGTTCAATTTGATCTAAATAAATCATTTGTTTTATAGGTAATAAATGTATAAGTCCATGAAATTCTTCGCCTTCACAAAATTCAATATCAGCCATTCCACAATTATCTCGAAAAACTAATCGATAATTTGGACATTTAGCTGGATAAGAAATAAGTGGTGTAAGATCACGTAAATATAGTGATATTGGATTAATCATACTACCAATAGCTAAATACCATATATATATATTTTTACCATCATCAATGAATGGTTGCTCTGAATTATCATGAGCAATAACATTACTAAGTACACGTTTGTCAATACGTGTACTTTTTTTAAGAATAATTTCACATGATTTTTTGAAATTAGTATCGCTTAAAAATGCATTTAAACGATAGGATAATGATATTGAAGTACTAACAATCGGCATGTCTAGTTTTCAACTGAATAATACAGAACTATTTTTGTTACAAAGTACAATGTCATGCGTGTTGATCAACGCAAATAGGGTCATATGACAATATAGAGCAGAACAAGAAAAAGAAAAACTGAGAACCTTCACGTACATGTTTTGATAGACATACGTGTCACGTTACGGTTTTTTTTTTGGTAAACACTATTAGTGAATAAAGAAAGCGATGAAAAACACACATCATTTATTAATCTTTCTTTTTTTAGTAAAGAAATAATATGCTTATTTGTTATCAAAGAAAACAAAATTATCATCATTATTCAGCAATAGTTCGTTTGATAAAAATAAAACAAGAATAGAGTACATAATACCTTTCGAGATACGAGTCCGAGTAAAAAAATTCAAGAACGAACGAATAAGAGTATGGAAAGAATAGAAAAAAGATATGAATATGTAATCTTCATTTCTTTTGGTCTATGACGCCGTTATAAAGACTATAGATACGCGAGGCTGTGATCAGATCGAAACCGAAAACCAGGATTAAAAACAATTGATTCCACACATCTCTAACAAATACATGTTGTACGTAAAGATCAAAGTTTAAAATAAATCATTGACTGATAAATAAGCAAGATTTTCAATAATCTTTTTCACAATTGAATAATCTGAAAAATGTAAACTTTTTCATATGTATGAAATACATTCATCTAGAAATTTTCTTTCCATTGATATATCTTTTCTAGATTAAAGGTTATTTTATGAAACTATTTTGCATATTTTTCTATATAAAATTTTAAAACTTTATGTAAATGTAAACTAGAAGAACATAATTAAATACATTAGAAATCTTTAATTTTTAATATCTCTATCACTATAAATAATAATGTGTGATCGAAAAGTAATTAGATCAAATGTTCATTCAATTTTCAACATCTTAAAGAAATCTGGAGATATTCGACAACATTGAGTTTGTTAGCTTCTATATTTATAATGATTCAGGACAAATACGGCTACTGATGTTATGCGACAGAACGAAGAATAACACGACCTTCGTTGGTTATGATAAGCTACACATACACGGTACACATAAACTCGTGGGTAGTTTATCATAGCTTGTTTGGACCAATAGAAATACTTTCCATTTTTTATTGTTATCTATAGAGAAATTGTCTGACACATGCTGAATATTAAACGTCATTTTTCTGAGTTATTTATTTCTTTTTTTAAATCAAATTTTCCCATGAGAGTGTAATCACATAATTGTGTCAATCATTTTATAAATATTGGAATAGAATATCCCCATGAAGGAGTTTTGAAGGGAAAGTTCTCACTCGATATAAATAGTACATTCGTAATCAGAGTAGTGAATTAACCCCATCACCGTCGAAATTTTGAGAGCGTATATCTGCACTCAAATAAAATAAATTTTGAGAAAAATCGATAGAAAAAAGAACACGCTTCGCACTAGATTCGAATCAACGTCGCGTTATACATACTCTTAGCAACTCAGATATATGCAATGTGTTGTTCTTCTTTTCTTACTAACACGTTGCTCTTCGAAGAGCAACGTATGAGTAAGAAAAGGGGAATAACACATTGCATATATCTGAGTTGCTAAGAGTATGTATAGGTGACGCTGGTTCGAGTCCAGTGCGAAGCGTGTCATTTTTTCTCTTCTGGTTCGTTTTCTCTGTGGATTTTTCTCAAAAAGTTTTTTTTTTTGGTTGAGTGCAGAGATGCCCTCTTGAGGTCTCAATAATGATGGGGTTAATTGACTATGCTGATTCCGTATATACTATTTATATCGAGTGAGAACTCTCCTTTCAAAACTCCTCCATCGTGATATGGTGAAATGCTTATTCTAGCTAACTACTTTTAATTCTGTTTAATGACTTATAAATGGTCGAAAATCCAACAAACATGCTAAACAAAGACTTTACACATAAGTGTAAATAGTTATGAGTAATTTAATTACACGGACTCAATAAAATCTGATGTAATAGATTTTATATTATTTACAAGAATAACAAGCAATATTCTTGATAATGAATTAATTTTTTGAATAGAAAATTTCTATTAGGAAAATTCTTCTAAATTTAGACGATAACAAAAGCAAGGGTAGCATTTATTGATTTTTCTTCATTTATTTATAAGAAATTTTATACTATTGAATTTATGGTATATTTTGATAAAAAAATTTCTGCACATATCAATATTTATTTATCTCACTTTTAATATCTTCCGTTGAGTGATATGATTCGAATCATATCACATTAAAATCAGAATAATCGAATCATTTTCATTTTTATTTTTTTCAAATGATGATATACGCTAGTTCATATGTCTTCAGTATGTGTAGCTTATCTCAACTACCTTCGTGGGATTTGAACCCACACCTTCTGCTATTCTGGCAGATGTTCTAAGCCAGCTAGACTAGAAGAAGCATCGTAGTTTTTATTTAGCGTCAGAGTTTATCATCACTGACACTAACAGAGTTAGCATCAGAATTTTGTGCCCTTTCTGAATAATAAATTCAAAAATTTTATAGGACTTCTCGTTTAGAAGTTATGAGTTTACCTTTTAGAGATCCATAAACTAAGTTTGGATGAACTTTAGCATGCGAAACATAACTCAAAATAGAAATGAAAATTATTTCTAATATAACAAATGAAATATAAACATTTCTCTATAAAATAGTATACAAATGATTAGTTTACTGCAAGTCATTTTTCAACAGTGAGCATTTTGAATAAGAAACACCGTGTTAATTTTCATGGAAAACAGACGTGTAAGGTGAACTTGGCCATTCCTCTATAATACAGCGTATACAGTCAAGGAAACTATTGCTGCAAAAAATGTGAATTTTTTCCGTCCAAACTTAATTTTAGTATCTCTAAAAGTTCGACTCATAACTCCTAGAACAGAAGTCCTAGAGAAATGTTAAAGCTATATTTGGAAACAATAGAAAATCTTGATTTTAATCCGATATTTTCAAATTTTTTCAGACCCCTTTAAGAAGCTGAAAAGTGAATGAACATTTTATCTAATTACTTTTCGATCACCTGTAACTACTCAAAAAAATATCCCTATCAAAAAATAGAATTCTCAAGGTTATTATCAGCAGTTTATCAGACCGATATGGTCTAATGGTTATGATAGGACATCTTTAACAATATATCACGAATATATTTGAATAAACTTACAAATCTCGACATCGGTAATTTCTTTTTTTTTTACTAATATTCATTTAATTATATAATCTATCAAAAACATGTTGTAATTTATTTTTACATTCATATTCATTCTTATTCTATGACGAAAAAGAAAAACAAATCTATATATCAATCATATAATGACCACTCTATTGATAAGATGAGAAAACAAACAATTCACAGTTTCTAATGCATTTACACAATTTCATTTCAACTAACACTTTATACAATATTACATATCTAGTAAATAGAAAATATTTCAAATTCTTTCATAGCAATTGAAATCTATTATTTTAAGCAGAAATGGAAACAGTCTTGGTTTTTCATGACCAGTATCGATATCTATACATTTTTTTTTTCATAATAAATTGTGATCTTATCTTCATAAGTGAAAAAAGTGTTATTTTAAAATGAATGAACAAAACAAAAATATATATTAGGATTTCATACTAATTGTCAGTAGAGACTAAAAAAAATCGATTAATTAAGTTTCGAAAAAATACTCAACTATTATCATTATCCATCTTGATATATTTTTTTCTCATAGAATAGATTTAGAATTATTCGATGCTGCATAAAGTCTAAAGACATCCGATCTGTCAACGAAAATCAGTATAGATTCTATTCTGCTTGTTTTCTATTCAATTATCTATTTTAAATTATATGTAATCGATTAAAAAATTTTACACTGATGAATACGATTGATTATTGTTTTTTTTTTTTTCTTGTTACCGAATCGATCAAAAGTATACGTATGTGATATGACACGAGGACTTCTAATACCTGCTGTTAACAACTTATTACAATTGCGCTTGTATATTTCTCATTCAAAAAAAAAAAGACGTTTGATCTTTTTTTTTCATACCATCATAGGTACGAATGTAATTTTGTAGAAATCATTTTTTTTTTATTTATATTTCTCTTTAAGAGATAAAAATCTCTCTTAATAAAAACAATTTAAATCAATGCTTTTTAATATTGACAAAACTGATCATTGAATAAGCATCTGCAGCATAAGTGAAATAGGAGGGATTAAGAAGAACGAGCAAGTGTTTGTTTTTTCCTATACAAAAATCAGAAATGCTGACAGCATGTCGATTAATATTAAATTTTTGCTTTTCTTTTCTTTTTTTTTTTTTTATTCGTACATTTTATATGCATCTGTCCAACTTAAGAATGTTCTCAATTGTTGGTGATCAAGTGTATAGTGAAGTGGGCAAAGGAAATTTAATTTAATTTTTTGTTTTGCATTCATTAAGATGCTGATGACATTGGTAAAGTCGATGATTGATGTACAAACATACGAACAGACTGTGACTATGTGAAAATTGATGACATAATTCTAATTTAAAAGTCAATTGTTTATTTCTAACAAGCTTGTTTTAGCTGCTTGATATCAATTGGCTAAAATTTCGTTTTTCCTCTATGGACAAAAAAAAAAAGGGAATTTTTTTTGACAACAATGTTAGCATCCCTCAGGTGCATATACAAAATGTGTCGATATTATTCAACATTGTCACTTGTTTGAGTAGATCTGTTATAATATGATCACATCAGAGATATAAGACGGTAAATTTAATTTTGCTTATCTGATCGGTCAACAAATCGACGAGGTGATTATCCAAATAGATTCTTTTTCCTTTTTTTGTTCAAAACAATATTCTATTGTAAACATATACAATTTCCTTCTTCGAGATCAATAATCGGCTGGTTGGAATTCTGCAACTGTTGCAGTTCCGGCATAGTACTTTTCATGTTTTGTTTAATGAATGAATATATTCATCATGGTTATTCTTTTCTTTTTTG